CTCAGCAGCACCTTCCATGCGCATCTGGCTTCCCTCGTCTTTCACAAGATCATCTCGTGTAACGACATGAGGCCGGCAGGAAAGGAGGCTATGAAAATGAAGTGAGATCAGTGCCCGCTCCGCAGCAGACCCCTGGGAAACCAAGGCTGCTCCTGCCTGCAGTGGAGGATGCTGAGCCCTGCCCTAAGTCACGCAGCAGGAAGGAGCCAAGCCCGCCAGGATCCCAGATCTTCTCTCCCCACACCCACCACTCTCCTTCAGTCATGCCAGCTCCCACGTCAGTTTCAAGACCCACATGATTCTGGGGCACCTCGGTGGCTCAGTTGGTTACGTGTCCAAGTCTTGAATTCAGCTCAGGTCACGATCTCACCGTTCGCGAGTTCAAGCCTCACATTGGGCTCCACACTGACAACGTGGAGCCCGCTTGGGATTCTCTCTCGCCCCCTCTGTCCCCCTCCCCCACTAAAGCTCTCTAAATAAATAAATAAATAAATAAATAAATAAACTTACAAAAAAATAAAACAAACAAGACCCACATTATTCTAATCCCATATATTTCATCCCCTGAGGGACGTGGGGCACCATTACCTGCAGGAAGCTGCTGCAGACCACACCTCCTTGATGCCCACACAGAAAGCCAGCAGGATGGTCTGTCTAGAGCTAGAGACTGAAGGGCTGTCTCCAGACACTCAGGACAAGCACCAGTGGCCAGAAGGTCATCTCTCTGGATTCTCCTGTTGAATCATCTGGACGAATCATAAACATTCCCAAGGGCTTGTATCTAGAATGGCCTAGAGTTCACCTCTGTGGAGATGCTTTATCCTCTTTCGAGGATGCATTAGAAACGCCAAAGCACATTCAGGGAAGAGAGCAGGAACCTGGCTGCGCTATTCAGAGCCCCCTACAGGCCGCCCAGGCCTCTGAGAGCCTCCCCACCCCCTGACCCTGTGTGTCCGGAGCACAGGATGACGCTGCCTCGCTGGACACCTTCCGTCACCCCCGAAGCTCAGGAGGTTCCTGGTGACAGCTCAGGATGCACAGGCCCTAAAATAACTGATTAAGAGGTGGGTGCTATTTCTAAAAAGTACAGCCTGTTCTGTTTCGAATGCCAGGGGAATATGTCATGTTATCCGTTTCCATCGCAAAAGGATGCTTCTCTGGCCTTTAGAGGACCGACTCCCAATGCCTACTTCACTAAGTGGTTCCTGCATAAGTTGAGGCCAGGAATACCAACGAGGTGAAAGGTAGGAGTTTCCCCTTAGATCCCAAGTGAAGGAGATTTGAAAACAGTCAATCAAGAGAACAGACATTCCAGGTTGACAGGTTTGCTGTGTGGGAGAAGGGACCGAAACCCTGAAACTCATAGGGCTCCCAAGTGGCCTGAAAGGGTGGAGGACAGAGATTCATTCCCAGGCAAGGAGAGCAGCTCCTTTGCCCTGAAGCATGTGACAGGTGCCATCAAGGGAGGGAAAAGTGGCAAAGCCCTTTTTGACAAAGGGGGAAGAACGTGTGTGACCCAAGACCGCCAACCACAGGCTGGAAGTGGTTAAGAACCAACTCGAAGCTCGGGCTGCCTGGGTTTGGATTCTAATTCTGCCACTTGCTAACAGCGGGCTTTGGGCAGGACACCCAAACCGTCCTGCCTCTGCAGAAAGAGGTCAATGTTAATATCTAGTGTGTAGAATTGTTACAGGGACAAAATGAGTCAATGTTAACATTTTAAACCTTTTTTAAAGGGCTGACACATTAAAAGTACATGTGTTTTAACATAAATTTAAAAGTTAGGCTGCTATCCTGACTCCAGAAGGATTTTCATCTAACCACCACATACTGCTGCATCTCTGTGTCCATAAAGCCCCAGCATCAGAAATCTATTCACGAACCGACTCTTCTAAGCCCCAGGGACTAACAATACAGTGAGTGATGCAGATTTTTAAATGCTTTTTTAAAAATGTAAATAGGCGCGGGGCCCCTGAGTGACTCAGTTGGTTAAGAGTCCAGCTTGGGCTCAAGTCATGATCTCACGGTTTGTGAGTTCGAGCCCCACATCGGGCTTGCTGCTGTCAGCTTAGAGCCCGCTTTGGATCCTCTGTCCTGATCTCTCTGCCCCTCCCCTGCTCTCTCGCTCTCTCTCTCTCAAAGATAAATAAACACTTAAAATTTTTTTTTAATGTAAATAGGGGTAGCTGGGTGGCTCAGTCCAATAAGCGTCAACTCTTGATTTCAGCTCAGGTCATGATCTCATGGTTCGTGAGATCAAGCCCCAGGTCAGGCTCTGCGCTGACAGGAATCCTCTCTCTCTCCCTCTCTCTCTGTCCCTCCCCTGCTCATGCTCTCTCTCTCTCTCTTTCTCTCAAAATAAATAAATAAACTTAAAAAAAACTTTTTTTTTTAATGTAAATAAAACAATGGCAGAGGCTGACCTGTCAATAGAGCTTAGGTCATTTATTCGGAGCCTTCCTATCTATCAAAAGGCAAAAGAATGCCTGTAGTTTGGGGAACTCTCCTAAAAATAAGTTGGACGGGGGAGGGGAGAAAAAGTCTTTTTTCTCAATCCCCAAATATTTCAAGCTACATAACAGATTTCAGAAATTATTATAATTGTCAGTCTGCATCTGGAGCAGAAAGAAACTTTCCCTGTGACAATGAAAGGCAGGAACATCCTTGGGTCGAAAAATGTCAAAGGCTCTGCGACCTGTTTCAGTGTTGCAGGGGAAGAATCTTCATTCACGGCAGAATAAAAATGGAGCTTCTCTATGCAGGGGCACATTATGAGCCAAATTTCAACTCTGGGCTGTGGGAGGCACCTGTGAAAACAGACTCTCCCACCTGGACCTGCCAAAGCCCGGAGTGTGTGCGACTGTTGCCATCTCTGGAGAGCGGGAGGGGTGGGGGGAGGTCGCAGGCAGGCCTGGGGGTGAGACTCTGTTCACAAGCTGGGACTGAGAGCGGCTTCACTGGCACTTAGAAACGAGCCCCAAACACAGCGCTGGTTCTGACTACGAAAGTTCCCATCCCCCCACCTTTATTTAGTATTTTGTTTAACTAACTGTTTACAGCTACAAGGATCCCCACCGCAGGAATGCTCTCTGCCACCTGCAATGGGGAACTTTTCTAGGATTTGGACGTTATCTGTGCTGGGACACACTTGTTACCACTTGAAGATATTTAATGACAGAAACAGGAATATGTGTTTTTCTCAAGAGGAACATCTCAGGAACATAATACCGAACACATATGCGGAGGAAATGCCTGCTGGGCTTCAAGAGGTAAAAATGAATAAGAATTGTTTAAAATCGTGAAGAAGAAAATAACCTTAGGTTTAAAGTAGGTGTGACAAGTCTTTCTTTCCTCATCAGTGAGAACAAAGTAAACAGTAAATAATATTCTTTATCCTGTTTTACACACACTCTTGTGAACACATACTCAATGGGAGGCGATTCGGTCCCTCGTTTAGCAAATATCTAGTTGGCACGGGCCACGTTCTAAGTGTTGAGGATCCGTCAATGAACTCCAGGGATATGTGGCTGCTCTACTGGCACTTACCGGTCATGGAGAAAGACAACAAGCCAGTGAAGCCTGTGGAATTTTGGACAGTGCTCAGTGCTCCCGAGGAGATGAAACAGAGAAGTGGGAGAGAACCTTCACCAGAAACCGTACCCTGCTGGAACCCTCAGCTTGGACATCCCAGAGTCTAGAATTGTGCAGAAAAAAAAAAATTCTGTTGCTTAAGGCACCTAGTGTGTGGTACTTTGTTATGACAGCCCAAGCAGACTGGAGTTGGACACCAAGGAGGGGGATACTACTCTAACGAATGCCTAAAAATGCGGAAGCAGCTTTGGAACTGGGTAATGGGTAGACGTTAGAGTTTGATGGTGCTTGCCAGAGAAAGCTTAAATTGCCACCAAAGGACTGTTGTTGGAAATGTGGATGTTAAAGGCAGTTCTGGTGAGGTCTCAGAACAGAGGGGAGCTGTAGAGAGAGTCTCCATCTTCTTAGAGAATACAGGAACAGAATGTTGGTAGAAATGACATCACAAGCCTTTCTGGTGAGGTCTCAGGCAGAAGTGAGGCACAGGTCATTGGAAAATAGATCTTTGCCATATGGTGAGAAAGAGCCAGGCTGAATTGTGATTTAGCATTCTATGAGAACAGAGAACATGAGAACAGAGAAATAAATTGAAGGAATTTTTTTTTTTTTTAAGCAAAAAAGAACCAGAACTTGAAGATTTGGAAAATTCTCTGCCTATCCGTACTGCAAAAAAAAAAAAAAATGAGAAGAAAGTGTTCTGAAGAGAACACAAGGGTGTGGCTGAAACATCATTTGATAAGGAGATCAATATGGGTGTGAACCATGAATTTAATCAGCCACCTTGGAAGCAGCCAGAAAGAGATGGGATTATACCAGCAGAAATACTGCCAGGACAAAGGAAAGAAATGAAAGATAAATGAAGGAAGACTGTCAGACTTCTTGGATTCCACAGAACTGGACAAAACTGCTGTTTGGCTGCAAATGCTCACTATTCTTTTTTTTTTTTTTTTAATTTTTTTTAACGTTTATTTATTTTTGGGACAGGGAGAGACAGAGCATGAATGGGGGAGGGTCAGAGAGAGAGGGAGACAAAGAATCCGAAACAGGCTCCAGGCTCTGAGCTGTCAGCACAGAGCCCGATGCGGGGCTCGAACTCACAGAGTGCGAGATCGTGACCCGAGCCGAAGTCAGCCGCTTAACCGACTGAGCTACCCAGGCGCCCCTATGCTCACTATTCTTTTTTTTTTTTTTAATTTTTTTTTTCAACGTTTATTTATTTTTGGGACAGAGAGAGACAGAGCATGAACGGGGAAGGGGCAGAGAGAGAGGGAGACACAGAATCGGAAACAGGCTCCAGGCTCTGAGCCATCAGCCCAGAGCCTGACGCGGGGCTCGAACTCACGGACCGCGAGATCGTGACCTGGCTGAAGTCGGACGCTTAACCGACTGCGCCACCCAGGCGCCCCTATGCTCACTATTCTTAAAGAAAAGGGAACAAGGACCCCAAAGGTGATTCAGAGATCATTAGGGCCACCTCCATCTCAGTTTCAAAGGGTGGGGCCACCAACGTGGTTTCAACAGGCTGAGCAGCCACCAGCCAGAGCCGTGGGGATAGGACCCCCACCCAGCAGTGCGACACAAGCAGGGACCCCTCTCTAGGGCCACAGGATGGGCTGGAAGGCACAGTGATGAGCCAAAGAGGAGGATTTTTGCGGCTCAAAATCTAATGGAATTTGCCTTGCTGGGTTTTGGTCTTACTTGGGATCTGTCACCTCTTTCTTTCAGATCCCTCCCTTTTGGAAAGGGAATACCTATCCTGTGCTGCCCCACCACTGTATTTTGGAAGCACTTAACTTGTCTGGTTTTGCAGGTGCACAGCTGGAGAGGAATTTGGCCTCAGGATGAATTGTATCTCCAGTCACACCCATACCTGATTGACATGATATTTAGCTGATAGAGACTTTGGGGTTTATAGGTGACGTTAGGATGAGTTAAAAATTAGGGGGTTGTTGGGACGGAAAGAATGTATTTTGCATATAATAAGGGCAAGAATTTGGGGGGGGGGGGCAGGGGTGGAATGTCATGGCCTGAACTGTGTTCTCCTCAAATTCATGTTGAAGCCCTAACCCTCAGCGTAGCCAAATGTGGAGATGGGCCTTTAGGTGGTAATTGAGGTTAAAGGAGTTCATAAGGGTGGGGTCTTCATCTGATAGGATTAGTGTCCTTATAAGAAGAAATACCAGAGTGCTCTCTCCTTCTGTTTCGTCCTCCCCTTCCCCACTTCTTCCCCTCCTTCTCCCCATGCTCAAAGGAAAGGCCATGTAAGGCCAAAGCTACCATCTGCAAGCCAAGAAGGAAAGCGTCACCAAAAACCAAACCCTGCTGGAAACTTGATCTTCCCTTTCAGCCTCTGGAATAAAGAAACTTAATTTCTGTTGTTGAATCCATGCTTTGCTATTTTGTTATGGCAGCCCAAGCCGATTAAGACAGGCCTGCACGCAGGAGCATACCTACTAAGTTTGTGGAAAAGCAACGTGATCAGTGGGACTCAGGGTGAGAGAGAGGGAAAGTGGTAGAAGTGAGGTCAGAGAGGAAACGGGTCAGACCATGTGGGGCTTGGAGGGCTCATTTGTCACTCATGAATCTGTAGGGAGTTGTTATAATCCATACGTGATGCTGGGGATATAACAGTGAACAAAATCCTCAGGTAGTAACAAATAATCCCATAAATAAATGTGAATAACATACCAATAAATAAGCTATTTAAAGAAAAATTAGAAGGCCCCTGAAGGTTTATAATAAGGTCACCCAAGCTGGGGGAATCATGGGGCATTGGCGATGTCTCCTTGAGGACAAGACATCCCTGCTGAGATCTGGGGGTTACTAGGATTTAATCAGGGAGGCAGGGATGTAAAGGGGGGAGGAGGATTTCAGGCAGAGGGGAAAGCTTGTGTAAAGGCCTGAAGTATGTGGGACACCAGTGTTTCCAGGAGCTGAAAGGGAGCCAACATGACTACAGAGAGGAGATTCGTGATCCAGGGGCGAGTGGCATAAATAAATCTGGAAGAAAGGCTGAACAAGATCTAACAGGGCCTTGTAAATTATGCTGAAAGATTCTAAACTCGAGAGCAAGGGGATGTCAGGAGGATTTTCAGTTAAAGAGGGGCATCATTTTTCCATGTGCATTTTCAATGGCAAATGGATTGTGGGAGCAAACATGAAGAAGAGAGCCCTGTTGGGAAGCTCTTGCAGAAGGTCCAGATGAGAGGTCCCAGCAGGTGGGTCTGGGGCACTGGTTATTATGTATTACCTGAAGCCACCCACAAGTGCTGTCATTCAGTTCCTAAGCCCAAGCCTGAAGCAGTGAAATGGATCATAAATGCAAAGGAGTGAGCAGGGCTGAAGCAACAGGCCCCAGGTCTCAGAGAGAGCCGCACAGGACATTCAGTGCAGCCAAAGACAATGAAGGGCAGAAGGTCACCTCCAATAGTGAAAGGTACATTGGAAGGACAAGAAAAAAGCTAGTGCCTACTACTGCCTGGGCTGAACCTTTGAGCAACCGACAGGCCCAGGCAGACAAAAGGGCACAGTTACCATGGGTAACTGAGCCAAGTTGCCTGCCAGCTCTGTAACCAGATCTGTGATAGCTCCAAATCCCTGCAGGACCAAAGTTCTGAAAAGCCCTTTGGAACCTGGCTCCGACCTGGGGACCCCAGAGAACTGGTGGAGGAAATCTCAAAAACAGTGTGTGTTGTGGGGGCAAGGGGGAAGCAGTGGGGACAAGCCAGAGTAAGAAAGGCTAATTCAATGAAAGAAGGCCGATGAAATCAGCAATCAGAATAAAACTCACGCCAAACTAAATTTACTTTATAGAACACAAACTATATCATTTAGAGGGCTCAAACAACGGAATAACTTTCATTTTAAAAGTATAAGAATAATTTTAAAAACAAAAAAAGACAAACAAGTATAAGAAACTATGAGACAGAAATAGTAAGAAATGAAACATGAACTAATGGATGTCAATAATCAAAAATCTTGGAAATAAAAAAGACGGTCATTAGCATAACAACAAATAACTGGGATAAACTCTAGACTGGACCAGAGAATGAGTGACAAGGAACGAGTCCTGATGAAGGTCAGGCCTGTTGTCTCTAAAACTGTCAAAGGCAGGGGCCTTAAAGAAGAAGGACTGAGGAATTGTTCTAGACTGGAGAAGACGGAAGAAACATGGGACCTAAACGCATCGTGTTTCTGGATGAGATCCTAGACCAGAAACCAAAAGCAGACGTTAATGGGACATACGGCAAAATCTGAACGGCATCTATTGGCAATACAGCAGTGATTTATCAATGTTGAGTTGGAAGTTATTTAATGGTTATATGGTGAAGTGCTGGGGAATCGCACCCCAGAATATTTGGGATTTAAGGAGCATTATGTCTGCAGTTCATTCTCAGATGGTTCGGAGAGACACTAATGGTAACCATTAGGAAGAGTCAGGGGTGTGGGGTGAAGCAAATGGGTGACGGTGGTAAAAAGGTACAAACACTCAGTTATAAAATAAGTAAGTCCTGGGGATATAATGTCCAGCACTGTGACTATAGTTAACAATACTGTATTGTATACTTGAAAGTTGATAAGAAAGTAAATCTTAAAAATTCTCATCATGGGGCACCTGGGTGGCTCAGTTGATTAAGCATCTGACTTCGGCTCTGGTCATGATCTAACCATTCGTGAGTTCAAGCCCTGGGTCAGGCTTTGTGCTGACAGAAAGAAGCCTGCTTCAGATTCTCTGTCTCCCTCTTTCTCTGCCCCTCCCCCCTCTCAAAATAAATATTTTTTTAAAACTCTCATCACAAGAAAAATCATGTAACTATGCAAGGTGATGGATGGTAACTTATTGTGGTAATCATTTTACAATTATATTCACATATGAAATCATTCGGGTGTACACCTTAAACTAATACAATGTTATATGTCAATTATATCTCAACAAAACTGGGAAAACTCATCAGGGAGAGAGGGAAATGGTGATAGAGCACACACAGTGAAATATTAATAGTTGGGGAAATTGGGCAGGGAGACTTGGGAGTTCTTTGCACTGTTCTTGCAATTTCTCTGGAATTTTTAAATTACTTCAAACTCTCTATATTATAAATAGAAGTCTTAACTATATTCGCTACTATGACCCAGCATAGCCTTAAGCATGAATAGCAGATTCTTCATACCAACAATTCTTAATGAAACAAGAAAACATGTGTCTTACTACCTAAAAACTATTTCTAAAACCCAGAAATAGGACGTCACCACTCTTCCTCTTGAAAGTAAGAAAGAAGGAAAGAAAGGTAGGAAGGACGGAAGGACGGAAGCAAGGAAGGAAGGAAGGAAGGCCCAATTAGGCTTTATCTCAGGAAAAGAAATAAGATTGCTGTCTATGCTTATCAATTGTGAATTGATGTTTTCTGTTTATCCTTCAGAAGGCAAGACCTCCTTAAAGAGTCAGGAAGGTTATGGGGTGCCTGAGTGGCTCAGTCCGTTGAGCGTCCTGCTTTGGCCCAGGTCATGATTTCACAGCTCATGAGTTCGAGCCTGCGTATGGCTCTGTGCTGACAGCTCAGAGCCTGGAGCCTGCTTCGGATTCTGTGTCTCCCTTTCTCTCTGCTCCTCTCCTGCTCACACTCTGTCTGTCTGTCTGTCTCTCTCTCTCTCAAAAATAAACATTGAAAAAAAAAAAAGGAGGAAGGTTTGACTATCAACTGACTAAAGTTGAGGGGAAACTGCCTTATTGTTCTCAGTTATTCACTTCTCCCCATATTCATGACTTTAATCACCTCTTGTGGCTTTTTGGGTTTCTTTCTTTCTTTTCTTTCTTTCTTCTTTCTTTCTTTCTTTCTCTCTTTCTTTCTTTCTTTCCTCTTGTTTTTTTTTTAATATATAGTGTTAGTTGTTTTAAATTAGCAATAATAATAAAAATGAAACTTTTATTAAATGCTTACTATATAAATGAAGTCTTCATGTGACTAACTTTTCTTACAGGAACGTAGGGAAAATTAAAGGCAGAGAATTTACATCACAAGAGCAGGATACTGTTTAAAGTATTCAATATCCTACACGTGGTTTATATAGTGAGGTCCGTCCAACTTTGTTGTTGTTTTTCCTTCTGTGATAACAGAGAAATGGCAGACAGCACGTCTTAAGAGTGACATGGGTAAACGCGAGCGCTTCCTGAGGAAGTGACGAGATGGTGAAGAGTCTGGGAAACAAGGCCTAAGAGCATGAGTTCAAGGAAGTGAAGGTGTTTATACTAGAAAGAGAAGTCTTCAAGGAAACACAAGAACTGCTTCCACATCCCAACAAGACTGGGCTTGGAAAAGGGATTACATTATTCTGAGTAGTTCAAAAGGACAAACTTTAACCAGTAAATGAAATTCATAGGATGGAAGATTTGGGACCAAAAAAAAAAAAATGGAAAACACACCAATGATTTAAGCTATCTGACACAGGGTGGCTGCTGCCCTACAAGTATCAGAGCTTTAGAAAAGTGATTTTTTAATTAAGGAAAAAATTGTACCAGATGATATCAAATGCCATTCCAAGTCTAAACTGCTATTATGACGCCTCCAAAATTATAATAGCTTTGATTCACTACACTACTGAATACTGAAAAGTTTACTTTATTTTCTTAATTTGTTTTTGCGAGAGAGAGAGAGAGAAATAGATGGAGAGAGAGAAAGAGTGTGAATACCAGTGGGGAAGGGGCAGAGAGAGGGAGAGAGAGAATCCTGGGCTCCATCCCACGACCCTGTGATCATGACCTGAGCCGAATTCAAGAGTCGGACGCTTAACCGACGGAGCCACCCAGGTGTCCCTGAAAAATTTACTTTATGTATAAATCTCAGAAACATACCTGTGATGAGGTCAGTCCACATGTATGTGATAGTTATGAACTCCCAAATACACAATGGACTGAGTGAGGATGAGAGGCTCTTACTGAATTAATGATTCATCATTTGGCAAAGAATGGGCCTTTTTAAAGAAATAGAATGATATTTAAAGTCTATAAAATAAGCGTGTGTTCAGCCACATAATATTGATTTCTTGTACATCTGTATTAAACATATGCATGTTTAAATGGATGTTTAAACATATATATGTTTAAAATCACTATCCATTCCTAAGCCTTAGCTCTATTCTCTACTGGGGACCTAAGAGCTCTCATAAAAGAGATACTTTAGGGGCGCCTGGGTGGCTCAGTTGGTTGAGCATCTGACTTTGGCCCAGGTCATGATCTCATGGCTCATGAGTTTGAGCCCCATGTCAGGCTCTGCGCTGACAGCTCAGAGCCTGGAGCCTGCTTCGGAGTCTGTGCCTCCCTCTCTCTCTCCCCCTCCCCCACTCACACTCTGTCTCTCTCTCAAAAATGAATAAATGTTAAAAAAAAAA